CCAAAAAATTCCCAACATGATCAGTTTTGGGAATAGCAAGGAAGTACCCTGTCTCCATGTTGCAGAGAGAAACTAGATTTTAGGTCTTCTACAACAGAGATTTGTGAACAAATAAATTTATGTTATTTTCTTCTTTTTTATTATTAAGAAATTTTCTATTCATTTTACATACCAACCACAGATTCCCCCCTCTCCTCCCTCCTCCCATCCCCAGCCTTCCCTCCAAACCCACCCCCCATTCCCACTTTGTCCAAGGCAAGGCCTCCCATGGTGAGTCAGCAGAGCCTGGTACATTCAATAGAGGCAGGTCCAAGCCCCTCCCCCTGTACCAAGGCTGTGCAAGGTGTCCCACCATAGGGAGTGGGCTCTAAAAAGCCCAATTATGCATCAGGGGCAGATCCTGATCCCACTATAAGGGGCCCCCTTAAATAGTTCAAGCTAAACAACTGTCTCACCTATGCAGAGGGCATAGTCCTGTCCCATGGGGGCTCCACAGCTATTGGTCCACAGTTAATGTGTTTCTACTAGTTTGGTTTGGTTGTCTCTGTATGTTTCCCCATCATGATCTTGATGTCCCTTGCTCATAGAATCCTTCTTCTCTCTTTTCAACTGGATTCCTGGAGCTCTGCCTCGTGCTTGGCTGTGGATCTCTGCATCTGCTTCCATCAGTTATTGGATGAAGGCTCCCTAGTTTGCTCATGGAGATCTCATCTATTTCTCCTTTGCAGGGTGATCCATGCATCCCTTTTAGGGTCCTCCTTGTTAGCTAGCTTCTCTGGAACTGAGTACTACTTAGCAGTACAAAACAATATCATGAAGTTTGCAGGCAAATGGGTGGAACTAGAAAAAAATCATCCTGAGTGAGGTAACCCAGATTCGGAAGTACAAATAATGGTATTTACTCACTCATAAGTGGATACTAGATGTAAAGCAAAGGATGAATTTATGGTGTTTTAAGTGACAGGCATTTGCACTATTTTGCTATAGTATCTTTAGAAAATAATGTGAGTTTTAATATATGCTAAGTAATGGTAGAATATGACCCCTGATTTGTGTCTGGTGTTTTTTAGCTTCTCTCTCCAATAATGTCAAGCTGCAAAAATCGTCACTTTCATTTATGACTAAGGACAGTGCAGTTCCTTTAGGCTAAGAAAATATTCCCAAAGGCCATGTTAATAGGCAGGAAGATTTGAGCCTGGTCTCTTTAACAGCAAAGCCTGCTGCTTCAAAATGCTTCTTCTGGCCAGAGATAATGAAGACATAAAAATAGAATTCGTTCATGAGGATTAAAGGGAGTCTATGTGGAATGGTAGGTTAAAACCCTAAATTATGGAGACGATTTGGACAGAGTGATCCATGCGCAAGGGCCTGAGGAGGGGAAGGAGGCAAAAGGCTGGGAGAATGTAGGTTGCAGATCAGAGAATTATGGGGGAAAAGGGTTGTAGCTTACTGGTCATGTGCTTTCAGATTTGCTCACTTGTTTGCCTTCATAGTCTTATCAAAGGCAACATGACAGTCTAGGAGTCAGGTTATTTCCCTTCCTTTATTAAAGATATGAAAGCCATGGGGAGGTTTAAGTCAAAGCGAGAATGAAATTTATCGTTAAGCATCACAGACTCTGTGGGCAAGGATATGCCTTACAGACAGGAGCCTGTTGACTTTAAGGGAGTGTGGGATTTTCTTGGATTCAGGTACACCCTCCCAGTTATTTCCTCTTTCTTCTATTGGTCTTTAGCTGTCTATGCACTCTATCTGGCTTGGTGGTAGAGTCTGCCACTTCTGTCCACCTGCTGCCATTTGTCTGTTGATAAGTGCCCTACCTTGGGGCACAAGCCGGGAAATGACTGCGGTGTGGTTGTCTGTCATGGCATGAATTTAGAAACAATTTCTTGGTGCTAAACTAATTAGTGACCACCAAGTAATTAGTAATCAAGGTAATTTTGATCCCCCTTCTTGGTAGTATAAGAGTGGGGGCCTGGAAACTTACAATGGACAAGGGAAAATGGAAATTTATCTCCCTTTCTTTACTTCCCCTTCTGTGGGATCCATATTTTCAGTACATGACTCAAAGAACCTAGCAAATTAAATCTAGTCCTATTCAGAAAACAGGAGGAGCAGCCAGTGCTTCCCCTGCATTCTTTGCTACAGGGTGGGTTTCTGGCACTAACTGAGATTTCAAGAGGGGGAATCTAAGATCATTTATGCCACTATAAAAGAGTAACACAGACCGAGTCATTTATAACTGATACTTATTTTTCACAGTCTTGGGCACTGAAACATTCAAGATCAATTCTCAACTTCTCAAGAGGACTACTCTTAGCTACCAAGTGACACCACGAACTCTATGTCCTCCAGAGGGGAGGGATGTTGCATCCTCATAAGCAAGAAGGTAGAAGGATAAAAATATCCCCTGTCCTCCCTCTTATTTCATTAATCTGTTTATGAGAGGAGAGTCCCCCTGCCACCACCTATACACTGCCCACAGTGCCTACTTTCCAACACATCTACGTTGAATATTGAGTTTCCAATGCATGAATTCTGATGGATATCTTCAGACTATCAGCACTACCCCTCCCAGATAGTCCTTCTCCAACCTCATCTCCCAGAAAGTTCCCAGTACCTTAGCTTAGTTCCTAACAGGTGGCTACTCATTTAAGACTGCACAGCATGACTACTAGCCTTGGCCAGGACTGTAGTCGCATTATATTCACCCCATGTACTTTCACCCTTCACAATGATGCTACATCTTGGCCTCCTTGCCTCGTAATTTTCTGGCCCAGTACAAAATGAAAATACAATGTCTCTTGTTCACAGACAAGGAATAAATCATTTTAGAGATTCTCCTTCTGTCTCTCTGTCTCTCTCTCTCACTACCTCCCTCCTCTTGTCATTAAAGATTGTTTCTAGTATTGTTCTCAAGTTGGAAAGTAAAACTTTGAAGTTTTCTAATAATTTTATTATATGTATTTATATCATACAATTAAAATTTTAAGTGAAAATATTATAGTATTTGATTCCTTTGGGGGAAAATACACTGCTTATATAATATATTTCCATGCACTTTATTCTTTCTAGAACAATTGAAATACTAAACAAACCCTGTTTTTATAGTACTTCTTAATATGGGTATATTCTGTCCACACTATATTTTCTGGTTTTCTCATATGCAAGAAAGGACCAATGGAAGAGGATATTCGGGTTGCTCTATCATTTTCTTTCCTTCTGTGTGTGCATTTTCATCATAGAGTTGGCTAGTATAGAGACCTAACACTAGCATGAAAAGTAGGATAGGGTTCTTGATTATTTATGTTCTTCCAATGATGCTTCTTTCTGAGGTTCATCACAGTTTCTGATTAGAATAGAAGATGTGGTGCCATGAGGTATCTCAGTGTTTCTCAAATTTATACTACAGCATGCTAAGCTTTCTATCTTTAGATTCACTGGGATTCTGCTTTCATGAGACAAATTGTGCAAGCAATTGGAATAAGCAGAATCCAGTGAACACATATTGCATATCTTCTGCTTATGTCTTGGGCATGTTTTATCATCCCATTGGCCTTTACTTATAAAATGAAAAAAGAAAAATAAAATTATGAAGAATTTCGAGACTCATTTGGAGAGCATTCTTCCAAGTAGGAAGCTAAACACAGGCATGCAACTCACACACCTTTCAAGCTGTCTGTGCCTGACTTTTGTAGGTGGTCAGCACTTCTAACATCTCTCTGGACCATAATAAATTTCTTGTATTGGATTACCTGCCACATGTTCTACTTTCCTGCTTAGACCCTGATTGATGCAAGTAGACCTCAAAATTCACTTAGTGAGCAAATTGCAGTGAACCTTATTGAGAAGAATGACCACAAAAAGAAAGGTCCTGGATTCTGGCCTGTCAGCTGGGAACATGCATGGAACTAGGTCCTCAGAATGTGGGTGACAGTTACATGGCTAGATCTGTTTAGAGAGCCCCTGGCAGTAAGATCAGGATTTATCCCGGGTGCATGAAATGGCTGTTTGGAACACATTCCCTATGTGATACCTTGTTCAGCCTTGACACGGGAGGAGGCAGGGAGCTTGGTCCTGCCTCAACTTAGTATGCCAGACTTTGTTGACTCCCCTAGGGAGGTCTTACCTTCTCTGAGGAGTGGATGGGGGTGAGATTGGCAGAGCCGGGTTGGGGAAAGCAGAAGAAGTAGAGGGAGGGGTAACTGGGATTGGTATGTAAAATTAAAAAAAATTAAATACATTTTAAAGGATTCTTCAAACACACACACACACACACACACATACACACACACACACACACACACACACACACACAGAGAGAGAGAGAGAGAGAGAGAGAGAGAGAGAGAGAGAGAGAGAGAGAGAGATCCTTATTTTACTGGTTTAGCAGTGAAGAAGGAAGAATGAAAAATGTGTATATGAAGAATGAGTCAAACTGTACAAATAAAATGCATTTCTTTTTATAATCATTAATTCCCTGTGTAACATTAACTTTTATGATAAACAGTTCAACTCTATAGATCACTTGCTTTCTCTGGGAAACTCGTGGTTTCTGCTGAGGTTAAGGGTCAATTTCTTTGAAATATTCTCATTCCATTGATCTCAAACTCAATAGATACACTCACAGACATATACTGCAATTCCCAAGTCATGTTCAAGAACTCATTACCTACAGTAACAAAAAAAAGGTTTAAGATTGTGAAGAGGAAAAATAAAGGAAAACAACAAACTTATCTTTAAATTATTTGCCAAATACATTCATTTAGTTGTTCACATAGAAGACTGGATTAAGATAATTATTGCTAGAAAAATATATTCTTTTTATTACTTGTATTCACAAATTCAAGAAGTATTTCTGGAGATTCTGTGTGTCCCCAAGAATGAACAAAACCAAGTCTGGGCTCTCATACAGCTTTTGTCCCATGGTATGAATAGGAGGACAGGTGATTAATAAAATGATAATTTTATGACAAGTATGTGGTGCATATGATAATGAGAAGGAGAAAGACTTCATGTAAATATAAATAGCTGCCATTTGAGAAAGACAGAGAAAGCCACTAAGGGTCTTATATTTATTTATTTTGTCTGTTTTTCTAAAGTTACCCTCTGATACCAAATTTATTACTGTCACACCTTCTAGAAAGGACCTTGAAGTCACTGCTGCACTGTCTGTTCTGACCTATGTGCAAACCCTTCAGGTGGACTCCTGTTCTACAATTCTTCAGCATTGCGGCTGTCAAACCTAGAATTCACACTGTATTATAATTCTTTTAAAAACTTGTGGTAATATTTCAAGAATTTCATACAGTGTATCTTCAATATAGTCACCCGTCCTCCACGAACCCTCCCATAACCACCCACTACACAGCCCCATCCTTTCCCATCCAACTTTGAGTTTTCTCCCACCATATATACCTTGCATTGAATCCATTTTTTTTTGTTTTCCCTAAAACATTTTTGGGAATGGAGGTTAATCTAGCATGTGGCCAACCTCCCAGGGATCTCATCTTTAAATAACACTGACTCGCTTTAAGCAGTTACCAAATGCCAATATCTCCTCACTTAATGATGGGTACCCTATCCACCAGATTATGATTCCTATGTGTAAAGCAAATACATAATCTAAAATATACATGTTTTAACCTCATAAAGCTAGAAGCACTTTCACAGGCTACCAATAGTTACTCTACTCCAATTATGTAGGATTCAATCAGTAACCTGAGCTTCTTAGGTATTGTGCAGCTATTTATTCTGAACTGAAACACTCCTTCCTAGAGAGAGGTGGGATGTTTAAAAGATTCAGGAAGTAAATGATACTTACAAGGCTCACAAAGTTACAAGATTTCCAAGGCTCCCTCCTAAGATCTGAAAAACACAGGGAAGAAGGAACTTTGTGCACAACTGAGATACTTACAGGTTGTACAGAAAACTCCAGGGGTGCAAGTTTTTTTTTTTTCCAGACTGAAATCCATACCAATGTTGGCTTCCCATTGATGTAGTTGCTTTGTAGTCATCCAGGTTCCTGCAGGTAAACTGCAATAAACTCACTTGTTCACTAAGCTAGACTTGAGGGCAAATCATTTCTTTGGTCTGTTATTTGTGCCCTATCTGGGAAGAATGGACACATGTGCACATCCTCCTCAGGAAAAGTCATACAGAATTAGATAGCCTCCCACAATAAACAAAGTATCAGGCATGTTGGATGTGGTAATTGAAGAAGTTATAACTCAGATTGTGAGTCTACTGGATACTGCAGAAACCACTCTTCTTTACAGAACGTCACTTGCCTCTAGAGATATAACATGCAGTGATATCCAAGGGTGATGGGGTGGGGATGTGGGAATCTGTTCTGAGTTCCAGGGAGGCTTAGAAAAGAATACATCGAACACATCATCGTAGCCACATGGAGACAAATAAAGCCTCAACTGCACCTGGATGAATTTCTTGAAGATACTTTCCTACCTGTCTATAGGAGTAAAGGGATTTCACTTTCAGGTCAGGATACAATCTGCAAAGTCATTAACATAGTATCAGGTTTTACCTGAAAACAATCACAGAAAATAAAAACAATCTAAAGAAACAATGACAGCAAAAATTAAAAGTCCAAACATATCTAAAATCAGCTAAGACAGAAAATGCGAATCAAGTAAATGCATCAGAATCTTTAATAAGTTAATGCTCACTGTCACTCAAAGGAAAAGATAATATACACTACTCACAGACATTTGTGAGTTGGTAACTCTCAAAAGAGAGAAGTTCCTTGGGAAATATTTGTGTAAATAGTTGGCTAATAGACATCAAATAGTTTTAATATTGAGGTTATTTCTTGTCTGGGTTGTGAATTAATATTTCATACCTATTCTCAATTTTTTGTGTATTCTGTCCATTGATCAGCATTAGCCTGACTTTGTCCTTCACAAATAGAACATGGGGTAAGGCAGCCTTCAAACTCAGAATTTAGCAGAAACATGGAAAGCTGAGCTGCTCAATGAAGTGAGAAATTGGTTCCAGGTGGGTGGAGAGATGGCACAGTTCTAAAGTTTGAAGGAGCTACTATAATATTTGTTGAAGTTGAGGGTTGCCAAGCATGGTATTTAAAGTTATTTTTAGACAAAACTGTGTCTAGAAGTATGGTGGATAATTTTGTCAATTGACAGGACTTAAAATAGCAGGAGACAAACCTGTAAGGATGAATTTGAGGGCATTTCCAAATTGGGTTGAGGTGGAAAGGCTCACCCTAACTGTAGGTGGTAGCATTCTGTTGGCTGGGGACCCAGGCAGAATAAAATGAAGAAAACAAGCTGAGTCCCCAAATTGATCTTTTTCAGCTTTCTGACTGTGGATCCAACATGATGAGTCTCCTTATGCTTCTGTCATCATGGCTTCCCTGTGATGATAAACTCTACACTCTCTATCAGTCAAAATAAATCCTCCTCTCTCTTTAAATAGCTTGTTCTTAGGTATTCTGATCACATCAGAGAGAAAGTAACTAAAACCAAAGGGAACATCAGCACATTGACAACCACAGTCAGTAGCCATCTGTCTACTTCATAACATGCATCTTACCCACAGATACAAATCCTGACTGAATATGGACTCACTGTTACTGGCTTATATTCCCACTTCTTAGGATTTTGTCAGCATTTTCTTTTTTCCCCAACTCCCAATTTTCGATGAAAAACATCTCCCCCTTCAGTGTCAGTCCATATCTTTTAAATGGAATCATTCTTGGATATCGTCACAAAAGTAGCACACAGATTAAATGTCTGAGAGCTGGTGATTTATTTGGGAAGTGATTCCAGATGATAGTAAGGAAGTAAGGAAAGAGATATAGAAAAAGCATGACTGTAGTGGTTTACCACAAAGCTGGTGTCTACAGTGGGCCAGTAGACAGAATCTTTCTGGGAAATCACAATGCACCTTATAGGCATCTATCTGAGTCTAGGAGGTGAAGCTGCTATACCTGAATATGATACCCAAAGTGATTCATCCTCTAGTCATCCTGGCTTCAATTAAACTCAAGCTCAGAAATCCCCCACAGCTTTGGTGAAAGCCTTGATACGAAAAAGCAGCCATGGCTCTTGCTTCCAGAGTTGGATCCCAAATCACTCCTATAATTGATTGGATATTAAACTCTAGAATTATAGTATATATAATATAAAACCATATATCTCAAAGACAGTCAATAAAAGGAAACAAAACTTTTCAACAGTTAGAGAGTATTTTTTTAAAGCCTAGAAAAAAAAAGAAAGGTAAGGTCTGGGGCACTGCAATATATTTGTGAATATGTGAGATATACAACACAGGAGCAAGAGAGGGAAATTGGTACCTCAAGTATCACTACCTAAAGTCAGTCAGACTGACAGCCAGGAATTAACTAGCTTATGCATTTTTTTGTGTGTGCAGTCAATTTCAGTAAGATTTTCATTTGAGACTCTTTGATTTAGAGTTCTTTAAATTGCTGTTGGAAATCAGAGACCAGCACCATCGATATCACATGGGAGGATGCTGAAAGTGCAGAATTTCAGGTTCAACACCAGAGTCTTGGTGGCCAATGGTGTAACAAACCTCCCTACAGATTCTTACAGGTACTACACTTTAGAGTCACAACTCTGCTGATAGTAGGGTTTCTTCCAGAAGTTAACACTACTGGCAAAAGGAATTTCAAAAAATATTCAGCTTTCAAACAAAATTAAGAAGGAATAAAATTTTAAATGTAGTATTTATTCACTTTCAAGTAAGGATCTTTCACAACATATGCAATATGCCCCTCCTCTATCAGTCACAAAAACCTCAAAAATTCCAGGGTGACTTAGAGGAGCACTGTAGAAGCAACTGCAATTTATTTTTCATTTTTCCTTATTAAAATTTCAGATTTATCTGCACAGCTCTGCTTTGTTATAAGGATTGAAGGTTGAAAAATGAAGACAAGAGTTTTAGATTTTACTAATTCTGAACCAAAGCAGGTCTCAGAACAATTACAGTGGATATATTTATCTTTACTTTTCTCTTGTGGTAAGGATGTTTGATGAAATTTAATCTGTGTCTGTTTAGCTCTTTGGACCTGCTAATGCTGCTAAATATAATTACCTTATAGACACTGAATGGTTGAAGAAAAGCCACTTTTTTCTATTGCCAAATTTAATCAAGAAAAACTCTAGGTTGAAAAATATTTACCTCTAAAGCAATATTAGGAAAAATAAAACTTGGCTTGTTAATAAAGTTTGTGGATGTATAAAATCTCATTAATTTGGTAGCAACTGGGCAAAGACCATTGTTCAGTAAACAATTATGAACTTTTAAAAATAGAGATGTATCACTCCTGTGTACAAATCATGAATTAGTTAGCAAATTGTTTATCGACAGAAGCTCAGTAGAAACCCTTTAATTCCCAATTGATAATTATACACTCCATCCACCTGGGAGGATGGGTAGTCTCAAGTTCAAGAAAATAGTTGATTTAATGAACTTGTTTAAACAATGCTTCTCTGACATTTGCAGGGAAAAAATATTTATAGATTTAGAATAGATTCTAATTCCTAGAGGAATCATATCATAACAACATTTTAAATTAATTGCTAAGGCTCTCAGAAAATCTTTTCTATAGTCATTGTATTTTAAAAGATCTTCAGTTCTCAGTTGGACAAAACAGAATGTCAAAACTAACAAATCCTTTTCTCCCCTTCCCTTTACAGTATATTTCCCACAGTCCTTCGTAGTTAGGCACATACATGTGGTCTAACCCACACAATGAGGAGGAAGTGGCCCTGGAAATATCTCCCACAAGATCCTGGACTTCTATGTGCTATGTACACTGATGATGAGTGGATGAATCCCACTAATAGTGAGCTTTTGCTTTTATAAATAAAGTTTTATTACAACACAGCTATGCCCATTATTTATATGTTATTTGTGGATATATGCACAATAATCACCAAAATTGTAGAGGATACTCTATGGCTCAGGCTCACCGATCTAAATATATTTCTGACTTTACCGTCTAAAAAT